TGCGGTAAAAAAGAAAAAAGAAAAAATATATAAATATAAGGTTCATAGATGCCCAATTACATCATCATCATCATCATCATTATTATTAACAAATCGAATTATTTATCATAATAGGATATTTTAATTATGTTTCCTAAATGAACTTGAAAAAACAAATCATTTTCATTCAAAAATCATCATCTTAGGTTGTATATATAATAATGATATTAATGATATGTTGCTTAAAATGGAAAAAAAAGTTGTTTGGAGAAGAGTCGAATTGAATGCAAAATAGTAATAGAAGTAGTTATTTTTGATTGTGTTGCTTCCACATTCTCAATTTGAAAAAATAATTCATTTCATTTTGAATTGTATAATAGTAATATTGCTGTGCATTAAAATGATAATCAATTTGAAAAGGTGAATTGAATTTGGAAAAAAGACAAGTTGCAAAAATAATCATGGCACCTACTCATCTTGTTTGTCATTTTCCAACTAATATAAAAAGGATAGCTATCCTTTTACATCTTCGACACAATATATAATAATAAATAATAATATTTCGTATTACATTTTCACGTGATATAATAGCCTGGCCAATAAACGTAGAGATTTTAGTTTCACAAAAAACCGATTCGAACCGGTTCAAAAACCGAACCGAACCTAAACCAAAAACCGGTTCAAAAACCGAGTTCGAACCAGTTTTTTTTTAAAACCGCCCCATCCCTAATTTTGAGCTAGATGTAAATCTTTTGATCATCTTTTTTGAAGTTAATATTAAACATTGTATTTTTGGACCTATGAAAGAAAGAAGTGTAATAACTGCTTTTTTATCTGTTTCAGAACACGTCGATGAAAATTTTGGTCAAGGTGATGAAATATTGTTGTTGAAACGCAGCGAAAAAGTTAGAACATACAAGTAATATTCTGAAATATGAAATCATAATGAATGATTATTAGTAGTTTAATATTATTGTGTTTAAGTTGATGACATGATAATGCGGTAGGTATCTTCTTCTAATTCTTTTTACTTTTTTTAAAAATTATGATTTAGAAATTTTTGGGCGGGAATTAGTGGAACAATAGAAGTTCAAGATAAATCGCCTTTTGATCGTGCACTGATTGAAATAAACGAGGAAACAAGTTTATCACCAAATGATATTATATTGATACGGACCAGCAAGCCAATTTTTGTAAGAGCAGAAGACATCAATACAATATGGAAAATTCATCCGTTTCTTTTTCGACTTGTATCTAAAGATTTGAAAAATAAAATAAGAATAGATTGGGAACACGAAAAATTCCAATGGATCAAACCAAATGAATTAAACGATTTCAACAAAACGGTCCCAAATCTAAAAGATACTTTTTATAGAGTATATTTACCAATTGATGTTCATCAAGGAATATTAAACATTCGCCATGATAAAAAATCAGGAGCCCAGCAGTTAGCAAACAAAGCTTTAGATATTTTCTATCAAATGATCAAGACAAAATCTTATGATAATGGAAATATTAAAGATTATAAAGGATTTCTTTTAACTTTGTTAAATGTTGGATGGCATTTAGTTCAGGCAAGACCTAGTATGAAGGCTTCCATTTCATATGTTGTCACAACTTTATTGAAACAAGTGTTGAAAATATTGGATAAATATGTTCCTAAGATTAAAAATGATGATGATGATGATGATGGTAATGATAACGATGATAAAAAATCAAGATCTTTCTCTTTAGATAAATGCGATGAAATGATACTTGAGAGGATTGTTGAATTAAAGACAAAGTTCAAGGAATCTGATCAAAAAATAATTGAACATTTTATGGACATTTTATCTTCAAATATCCAAATTCAAAATCAAATATTACACATAATGACAATCAGTTATTCATCCACGATTTATTCAATACTTTTAAATTTAATTCAAAAATTTGCAAATGAATCAACAAATAAGTTGATAATTACTGTGCTGGAGTCTAGACCATTGAATGAAGGTTCTACTCTAGCAAAAAACCTATTATTGGCAACACTAGATCAAAACAAGAACAATAATGATAACATCAAAATACAATTAATTACAGATTCGTCCTGTTGCTATTTTATGTCAGATGTAACTTGTGCACTAATAGGAGCCGATGAAATTAATGGAGACAATGGAAATGTAACCAATAAGATCGGATCATTGCCTTTAGCTATAGCTGCAAAATCTCATAATAAATCTGTTTACGTGATTTCTAAATCTGATAAAATAATTGGCAGCTATAGTAAGCAAGAAAAGTATGATGATCATGATGATGATGATGATGATGATGATGATGATGATGATGATGATGATGATGATGATGATGATGATGAAGAGAATGAACCAGATGAAATTATTAAGTCTTACGATGATGTCGAAGAATGGAAAAGAATTATTCAACAAAATGGGAATTTGTTCAAAGTTAGAAATGTTTATTTTGAAAAAATTAATTTTGGTTATATTGATGGATATGTGACCGAACTTGACTCAACTCTATTAAGAGTTCAAGATATAAAGAAGTTGTGGGATGATAGAAAATTGGACGGCCAAATTTTTGGAATTTTGGAGTCTGAATCAGAGTATATAACAATGAAAAACACATGTTAGTTTCAGTATCAAAAAAAGCAGCAATAAAAAAAATTTTTGTTATTCCAGGTCAATTTTTTTGCAGCAACATTTGTAAATTCATTTCACCTTTTAAATTATTTATTTCGCTCTCATCAATTTATAAATTGATTGATGATATTATTTGAGTCATAACAACGTCTTCCATGCTATGTGCGTAATTAAGAAATTCGGTTCAGTAATAGTAAAAGAATTCTAGAAAGTACAGGACATACTGCAACAAAGCCAGACAAAGTGTACATAATACTTTCAGGTCAATTGTTCAACGCTGCGATTTACTATCGTGTTAATAGCCTGTGTTTTATTTTTATCTCTCGCTTTTTGTGGCCGTTCTTTATCTGAAGAGTTAAGAAATAACAATCTCACATTATAGGTGTGTGGCTCATGTTCTCAATTTGGCTGTCCAAGAAGGTTTGCAATTAATTGATGAATAAAAGTTAGATGCCTTTCTTATATTCGATCTTCACCTACCAGTGCCGAATTAAAGGAATTATGTATAAAAGATAGTGAGTATTACGGTGTTGCAGTTGCAAAGAAAATTTCTGATAATATACTTGGAAATAATTAGTATTAGTGATGCAGTGAAAGCCTGCAGCTGTGGGATTTTTATTATTATGTAGACGGACAGGTGCCCAGCTATCTGGAAAATTTTGTTAATTGAAAGAAGGTTTCAAATTTGTTATGAACACATCCTGAACATAAGAAATAAAGATTGCGATACCATTTTCGTTCACTTATTCAAGCAAATTTATTACAGGCATGAAGAAAATCCAAAAAATATTATTTAACTTGGCCGAGTTAGGCCAAAACTGACTTATCGAGTTTACACGTGTAATTCAAAAGTACTTTAAAAAAGAATAGACAAATCATTAATTTTCTAAATAAATAATTAGATGAGATGAAAGGCTAAAATTTTCATAAGTCATAAATGTAAATTAATGAACTCAAAAAAAAACTTTTTTTTGATAAATCTCCCAAGAAAATCCAAAAAATATTATTTAACTTGGCCGAGTTAGGCCAAAACTGACTTATCGAGTTTACACGTGTAATTCAAAAGTACTTTAAAAAAGAATAGACAAATCATTAATTTTCTAAATAAATAATTAGATGAGATGAAAGGCTAAAATTTTCATAAGTCATAAATGTAAATTAATGAACTCAAAAAAAAACTTTTTTTTGATAAATCTCCCATGTCCTTGCCAAGTTAACTCGTTTACCCTTAAACTATTGCAGACTGCTATGAATTATCCTTATATGATTTGACAATATTATTATTATTATTTTATTTAACTCATCACTTATTCATGACAGTTTTTACAGAAAATTACTATGTATGTTATTTTTGCACCCCAACATTTCAATCATAATTTTACCTTTTTAAACAAAGATGAAAATTCCGATACATGGATATTTGATTGAGATAGCTTGGATAGATTTGATGTATTTGTTGTTTTTGCATCCAACTAATTAAAGTTGGAAAATTTTTTTTTCAATAACTTGATAGTTTTTAATTTAATTTTTAATCATGGATAAATTACATGGTGAATTACACCAGAAAGGCACAATGAGGCAAAATACCATTTTGTAAGTAAGCATAGCATTATACATATGGATATGAAATATACTAATAATATACCTTCTTAATATATGCACTAGAGATTAAAATGATTGAAGCATTAAGAAATTAATATAATTCTTTCAGATTTTAATATGTTTATATTAAAAAGATTCTGAAGGTTTATAAATTAATTTTTTTTTAATTAAAAAATCCTAATTTAAAATAAACGATCTTAATAATAATTAAATTGTTTTATAATGTATGAGTTGATTTCTGATATAATATGAAGATGGTGGATTATGTGTTGGATTATACTCTTCAAATGACCCACCTTGCGAATGTGAAAATCAATGTGCATCAAACATTTGTAAAAATCATGAACTATTAAAGCTTTTATCAAAATGTGAAAACAAATATCACCAAATATTATATGTTGGAGATTCTTTTGTCCGGCTACTAAAATGTCAAGATAAAATTTTTGATGGCTTATCAATGGTGTATTTATTGTGTGTGTATTTGTGATGTGTATTTGTGATGTGTATTTGTGATGTGTATTTGTGATGTGTATATTATAATAATAATAACAATAATGATTAATGATTAATGATAACTTTTTTTATAAATATAAAGTAATGACTAGTTTGTAAGAAAAGTTTTATTCTTCAGAAATTTTTAAAAAATGAATCAGATTTCTGTAACACTAAATGATAAAGGTTATAAATCTATATATTATTTATTGGAATGATGTAAGTGATTTTTTATAATTGTATGGAAATGGAATTTGGAAACCTTTCTTCTTTAGCGAATTAATTAAATGATTATCTTTTTTGTTTACTCTCGTCATCCTTTATTTTTTTCCTAGTTTCTGATTGTCTTCTTGATTCATTTATAGCATATTTAACATATAAACCAACTATTATTGCCATTGTAAATGCTGTTAATGGTTGTAACAATTTTTTGGAATTGATTTGTGTCATTTCAATAAAAAATTCTTTTATCAAAAGAAATTGAATTGGCCAATCGAATTTTAATATATTGTTCGTGTAACATCCTAATAACCATGTACAGTCTAACCTCGCCACAGCGGATTTCTTGCACTGTTCGAAATTCAATCGGCGGAATCGGCGTGCACTAACCAAATATGGAAATTAACCGCAGATAATTTCTAAAAT